GCACTGCAAAGGAATATAAATAAAAGTCAAAAATATCTCTCTGGGTTCCCTGAGGGACAAGCCTGACTGCATAGGAATTGATGTCAAAAGTATCCCCTCTCCAGGAAAAAGACATCAGGACGGGTATGGCCCTCATGCCTCACTGGACAGTGATAGGGGGACCGGAGCCACTACAAGGTCCCCTTAATTACTGGAGGTCAAATCTCTATCCCTGCCTTCACAAGATTGGATTCGCCACAGTCCGTCTATACTTAGAGAAGGGAGGAGATGTCAGGAGCATCCCTGCTTATACACTGAAGGCCTAAAATCAGCCATAGACCTAAAATCAGCAATAGGCCTGTCATACATGTATACTAACATCAAGTCTTGGGTCTCTGTGGATAAACACTGAAACAGATGGCTATAAGCTATTGTAAACAGGCAGTTTTTGTGACAATTTACCAGCCTGAGTAGTCATAGACCTTGTAAATAGGTAGCCTTGGCAGATAATACCAACTTAGATAAGGACTAGTGAATCATAGGCAGAGCCATAGCGACCTGTCCCCTGAACCCTTACCCAGCCGATATGCTGTTCTGAAAGATATCTGTATTCCCCCTGAACACCCACACTCCAGTGTCATCCCCTTCCCCACATCATGCCTTTCTGTGTTTATAACCTTTGTGTGAATGAGTATAAATTACAATTTGAAAAAAATAAATGAATTATATTAAAAAAACATTAATCTAATCAGGAGAGGGTTCAATAAAGAGATTTAAAAAAATAATTCAAATAAATGAGTATGAGTATTTATCTGTATATCTGTGTGCCTTGTGTCTGCAGAGTTACAGATGGTTGTAAGCTGTCTTGTGGCTCCCTAGGAATTAAACCCTAGTCCGTTGGAGAACATTCAGTGATCTTACCTGTTAAGCCAGCTCTCCATGCCCCACCTTCAGGAGAGGATTGTTAAGCAGAGATAAATCATAGCAGAAGGAAACAGAATTCTCTAAGTAGAGTAGTGTTGGTGGAGTAATACGAAGAGAAAAAAGAAAATGAGAAGGCAGATTAATGTGATTTAAAGATTGGTTCTATTTGGTGGGCTTAGGAGGGGAATGAACAGGTCATGCCAAGGACATCAGAACTGTGTATGTGTATTAAATTACATTTCTAGAAACTGTTGGAAGGATGTGTTCCAGGAAGATAAGATTAGATGTGCTTATGAATTTAAACTTAAGTGATAGACTTTTTCCTTATCTTCTGTAGTTAACTCTTTAACCTATTTTGTCTAATTTTCCTTCTAAACATAATGCGCATGTGACTTTTATTACTCTGGTTTCTGGAAACCAGAGAACCAACTTGGTCAGAGCATGACATTTGCTCTGCAAATTACCCATTCTCAGCGTCAGGTTGCCCATTTGTAATTATGGGAGCTCACAAGTTTCCAAGGGTTGGGACAGTAGGGTTCTCCACAAGTTAGTATATAGATATAAGCAGGGAGGGATATCTCTAGAAGTGTCATGAAAATCAGTGTCTGTCTTTTGAGATTGAGATTCCTTCTTATCTCCATTAAAATGATTCTCATTAGGAGAGGGAAATAGAATAAATAGATATAGCTGTAAGGAGAGGGTTGAATGGGAAGATCAAATGTGGAGGGGAAAGGGAGTAGGGGTATGGGAGGGAATATAGGAGAGATAGCTAAAATTAAGGTACAACCATATGCCCCTTCTTGCTCTCTTTCAAATTCATATATTTTTCATTAATTGTTACAATATGTATATGTACATGTATATGATGTATAGGCATAAGTATAGGTATAGGATGTATATAAATATTTACATACATATACATATGTACATTAATAAGTGTATGATGAATAGATGTAGGTATATGATGTATATGTGTATATTTATATAATATATATTCCTAAATGCATGAATCCAACCAACTCAGTCTGAACTCTGTTACTTTCTATGTATGTTTTCAGGGCTGATCATTTGATAGGTGTGCTCTTCTCCAATGTTAATACTGAATACTGTCATCTTTTGCTCTCAGCTCAAATCACTCCTACTCTGTCTCACTGCTTTCCAAGTATCACACCTTATGCAGCGAAGCAGGCAAAATCTAACATGTAAGCCCACATTCTTTGATCTCTCCATCTTTCCTTCTTGGATTTTTCTGCAGTTATTTGGGACTTTTATCATTGTTTCTTTATGGGTTATTACTGTATGAAGGGCATGATCCGTGAGGTTCAGAGAACAGAAAGGGATAGAAATAAACAGAAATTGGTGGGTTTTTTCAAAATATCAATCATCCACACAAAAAGCTCCATACCTAATTTTTTGCATTTAACTCATATTTATTAAGGAATATACAAGGAAAGTTTTATGTTGGAAAGGAGAGAGAGCTACAAGGCTACACAAAATTAGGGCAAAGTGTCACTAAGCCAAATGATCAAAGGAGGGCATCTTGCACAGCAGACTTCAAAATGAGAAGCTTCATGAAAGAATGTCTTGGAAACTACGAGAAGGTAATATGTTCTTGTGTAACATCTAAATTCTTATGCATATTTTAAGATATTATTTAATTATTTGTATATTAGTACAACTGAGGTTGAAAGATAGTATAGAACTAGGTGTGGTGGTACTCACATCTGTAATCCCAGCTACTTATAAGGTTGAGGTAGTTCAGTGTTACCATGGGGAATTTTGTGTGACTACTTCAAAACCAAACCAAACCAAACCTAACCAAACCAAACCAAACCAAACCAAACCAAACCAAACCAAACCAAACCAAACCAAACCAAA